AAGTCAAGGTGCTGGTCTTGCCTTGTTTCAATGCGTAGCCTGGGATCCTTATGAGCCGACGGCGACAAACATTGAAGTTTCACTGGGCACAAGGACAGGGCGCAGGAGAAGCACCCAGCTGGCTGTTTCGGCAGGCATGGGATGGAGGCACCAGAAGTTAACATGACACAGCAGAAGTTTAATTGTGAGGAACTGAAGCCCTAACCTCTCAGACCCACAGATCATTCCATGCTTCAAGTAATTTCAAGACATCTTGAAAGAAAGACCTGGGGAGACCTGTATTTCTTACTCAGTAGTGTTCGAAGCATTTTCACCCATTATGCCTTGGCTTTGGAAAGAGCCAGGAAACTTTTTGGTTTGAAACAAAATCTAGTGAAAACTCAGAAGCGGGCGCAGGGGTATCTAGCCACTTGGTTTCTGGTTCCTGTTTAAAGCCCTCGGCTCGGCTCCAAGGGAACCCACGTTACCTGCCACGAGGTACCTACAACGGCCTCTTGCCCACCCAGTTCCACATCCACGGAGGCCTGTTGCGTGGGGCAGTGGCCGTCAGGTGCCCCTTCGCTTGGCCCGCACATGCGATGGCTGAGGGGGCCCTTTTGCGGGGGGGGTGCCCACTGTCTAAAATATCGACACAGCCACAGCTGCTTGGCATTCGCTCCTCACTGGCACCTCTTTGCCAAGCGGGGATTCTCTCAAGAGGGGACTGCTTTCTTTTCCTCTCTCAGTTCACCCCCATTACCAAAAACAAGAAAAGAAAAGCCATTTCTTTTCAGGAGTTAATTGCCCCTCTCTCTTTGGCCTTCCTGGTGGCTGAGCCAATATTGTGACATCCTCTTTTCTTTAATGCCATAATAATGTTTGTTTACAGGGAGCGTGGCAAAGGAAGCCAGACGGCGATGCCCGGTTTCTGAATGCCCAGTTCCCTGAAAAGGAGTCCTGGCTGCTTCCCCGAGAGGCCCGTCCTTTCCCCCTTTGATGCCAACTAGGGGGGGTGGCATTTGGGGGGTGGGGGTTGCCCATTGAGGAGCTCCATCCATCAGAGGGGCCTTTCTGGATTAGACAGGGAGCCCCATTCTGTGCCATAATCCCTCCTGCTGAAAGCAGCTGGCAGAAGGGCCCTGGGGGGTGCCTCCCCACAGAAGGCAAGAGGGTGGCGAGGGAGCCTGCCCTCCACAACACGACACCCTCCACACCCATTGGACTACAACTTCCATTATCCCATGTCAATAGTGCTGGCTGGGAATGATAGGTGGAGGGGGGCAATCGCTGTGAAGCACTCCGGGTGGAGGAAGGCTGCTCCATCCTTTCCCTCCCTGGCACCCAGGTATTAAAGCACAGTTTGGAGGGAGATCGCACACAACACGGGGGCTCTTTGGTCACTGGCAGCCTTTGTTTGCCCCTCCCCCTCCCCCCGCAGATCTCATGGCATAAATCTCCTTAATGCCCCCACCCTGAGACATTCGGACCCCACCTCCTCTTGGCCTTTCTTCCTACCACCATCACTTCCTTTCCTTTCCTCTCCCCCCCCCCCATTTTCCATATATCTGGTTTGAAACTCCTTCCCTTGTTTGTAGGCCCTCTTGTCCTGGTTTCTAACCCACCTACTCCATGCTCAGGGATGGGTGTGTGTGTGCGCGCACGTGCGCGTGTGCCTCTTTCCTCTGGTGGTGCAGGAGTGCTTTTTGTGTTGCTAATCCACGAGGGCGGATCCCCTCCCCCTCCCCCACTTTCCACCATGTGTCCAGGTGTGAAAAAGTGTGCCTCCTCTTGGGGAGGGGCTTGCTTGCTCCCTCCTTCAGCAAAGGGGAGGCATTTCACACCCGGTGGGGGCAGGGGGGCCCCCTCCTCCTCTAGCACCATTCCTGTTGCCTCTGCCACCTTTGTCTGGCCCATGGGGGGGGGAGGGAGTGTGAGAAGCCCCAGGAAAGCAGGTCCCTGGGAAAGCCACGAAGGCCCTCGGAAAGGGGGAGGGAGTCCAGACCCACTGGGGCATGAGTTCGGTTTTTCCCTCTGGACTCTGGAGATCCACCTTAACGAGGCACCCCTACCTTGGGTGTCCCCTCAGAGTTTTCCCAGCATCTTGCAGGCCCCGACTTCGGAGCTGGGTAACTGAGCATGAATCCGACTGAGCATCAATCCTGAGCTCCTGAAGGACGGGGCCCGTTGCCTTTGTCACTCAGAAGGCCTGCCAACGTTTTGTTGGGTTTTGTAGAGCAAACTCTTGAGTTTTGTCTCCACTTCGGCCGGCTACAAACCAAACTCTTCCTGCTCCCAACCAAGAACGTCCTTTCCACTCCGTGACTCTTGTTTCCTCCCCGGTTTCTGCTGGTTCCAAAACACACTCCTGCAGCAGGAGAACCTTCCCAGTGTGGAGGAGCTTCTTTTGGGTTTTTTAAATTTAAGACAAATGGCCAGCATTTAATATGTGCCATGTCAGGATCCTATCTTCAAACTACTAAGAAAGATGAGATGAAAACAGCCCTGGGTCAAGGGCCGGATGCATGGGCCCTCAAGCGTCTGATTTAGTCAAAGGCAACCTTGGGGATCCTACCAGAAGGTTGGACCCGGACACGGCGGGTCATACTCTGGGAGTGGAAAGACTCTGGAGTAAAGGCCTGGGGCTGCATCCACACTCCTCTCCCAGGCCCTCCCTCCCTTCCACCCACCACCTACTTCTCCTTCTGCTCCCTTCTACATTACTTTGAATGATCAGCTGTAACAATCTGCACTTTTCAGGTCTCCTTACACAACCAAGCATACTAGTTTTCTGTATTTGTGTTTTTTTTTTAAAATTCCTTCCTCTCAGTTCACTCCCTTTAGTGTCTCTTCTTTGGCCCCCTCCCGATCTAAGTCATCCTTCCGATTCTGCAGTCCAGGCCTGGCAGGCATCACCGAGGTCCCCTCTTGCCGCCGTCAGAGCAAGACAGCGCTGAAGCAGAATTAAATGCACCAGCAGGAGGGGGAGGCAGCCCACCCGGGCATACTGTGTGTGTGTGTGTGTGTGTGGTGAGGGAGACTTTAGAGCGGGCAGGTGCGGCGATTAGCATACAGCTGAGGCCGGTCCTTCTGCTCTCAGAGAGAAATGCCTTCCACCCCCCACCCCACCCCACCCCACCCCCGTGCAGCGGGATCCTCCTCAGCCAGTCACCCAAAATGCTTGCCAGCAGCTGCCTGTCTCTCGAGCAAGTCTGGACTTTTTAAAAGGAAAGGTTGGGGGAGCAGACCCGGCCGCCTTTGTGCAGAGCTGGTCACTCAAAAGCCGGGGGGAGCCGAGCCTGCTGGTAACAAGCGGGCCCGCCAGGCGCGCTGCCAGGATCCTTGGGGGTGGGGCGGGGGGGACACCTCTCCGCCCCAGGCCTTCCCCGCCGGGCTCCCGGGATGCGCGCCCGCTTTCCTGCCTCTTTGCTGCTCGGGCTCCGGCCTTGGCCGACCTCCCCAGGACTTCCCATCTCGGGAGTTCTTGGGCTCCTCTCCCCGC